GTGCTATGATGTGTTCTAAAGCCAGACTGAACATCTTCAAATAAATCATTGTTTTTTAAGTAATCAGCTGTTTTGCGACCGCTTTCTCAAGAATGGAAGATTAGAAATAGGTCTATAATTGGCTAAAACCTCTGGATCGAGGTTGTGCTTTTTAAGAAGAGGTTTTATCACTGCTACTTTGAATGATTGTGGAACATAGCCTGATAATAAAGACATATTCATAATATTGAATAAATAAGTGCTAATTAATGGAAAAACTTCCTTCAACAGCTTAGTTGGAATTGGGTCTAACATGCACGTTGATGGTTTAGAAGAGAGAATCATTGAATTTAATTACATTACATTGCATTTAGCTGACGCTTTTGTCCAAAGCGACTTACAATAAGTACATTCGACCAGGAATACACAACCTTGAAGAAAACAGAATCATAAAGTACATCAGGTTTCATAGAGCCAAACATTTCAAGTGCTACTCAACTGGCTTTAGATAAGCCAGTCCTTTATCAGTATAAAAGTGCTTTGTTAATAGTTCTATCGCTCGAAGTGGAGTCGAAAGAGATGAGTTTTCAGTCTGGAAGGTGTGTAAGCTATCTGCTGTCCTGATGTCAATGGGGAGCTCATTCCACCATCTTGGAGCCAGGATAGCAAACCCACGTGTTTTTGCCGATGGGAACTTGGGTCCCCCTCGCAGCGAGGGCGCAGCGAGTCGTTTGGCTGATGCAGAGCGTAGTGCACGCGCTGGGGTGTACGGTTTAACCATGTCCTGGATGTACGAAGGGCCAGATCCATTCGCAGCATGGTACGCAAGTACCAGTGTCTTGAAGTGGATTCTAGCAGTTACCGGAAGCCAGTGAAGGGAGCGGAGGAGCGGAGTGGTGTGGGAACATTTAGGAAGGTTGAAGATCAGACGAGCCGCTGCATTCTGGATGAGCTGCAGAGGTCAGATGGCACATGCAGGTAGACCAGCCAGGAGGGAGTTGCAGTAGTCTAGGCGTGAGGTGACGAGAGCCTGGACCAGAACCTGTGTCGCTTTCTGAGTCAGCTGGGGACGTATCTTCCTGATGTTGTAAAGCGTGTATCTGCAGCAGCGGGTTGTAGCAGCGATGTTTGCAGTGAAGGACAGGTTGTTATCTAGGGTCACACCCAGATTCCTTGCAGTCTGAGTCAGGGGAAACAACATGAGGTGCCGATGTTGATTGTTAGGTCAAGAGTGGGACAATCTTTTCCCGGGAGGAAGAGCAGCTCAGTCTTGTCAAGGTTGAGTTTGAGGTGATGAGCAGACATCCACTGAGAGATGTCAGCTAGACAAGCAGAGATGCGTGCGACGACCTGGGTCTCTGAGCGGGGAAAGGACAGAATTAATTGGGTGTCATCAGCGTAGCAGTGGTAAGAAAAACCATGCGGGCTAATGACTGATCCGAGCGAGTTTGTGTACAGGGAGAAGAGGAGGGGACCAAGAACAGAGCCCTGAGGGACCCCCGTAGTTAATTGACAAGTTAATTGACTCAGACCCTCTCCAAGTCACCCTGTAGGTGCGGTCTTTCAGGTATGAGGTGAGGAGGGAAAGTGCAGAGCCTGAAACTCCAAGTTTTTGGAGAGTGCGAAGGAGGATCTGATGACTCACCGTGTCGAATGCAGCAGACAGGTCCAACAGGATGATGACAGAGGAGAGGGAGGCTGCTTTAGCAGTGTGCAGTTCCTCAGTGACAGCAATGAGAGCAGTTTCTGCTGGAGTGACCTGCCTTGAAACCAGACTGGTGCGGATCCAGAAGGTTGTTCTGATTGAGATAACAGGAGAGTTGTTTAAAGACAGCGCGTTCAAGTGATTTAGACAGGAACGGGAGGAGAGAGACAGGCCTGTAGTTTATAACATCAGACGGGTTGAGAGTGGGTTTCTTTAGGAGAGGGTTTACTCTTGCCTCCTTGAGACTGTTTGGAAAGTGACCAGAAGTTAGAGAAGTGTTGATGAAATGGGTGAGAAACGGTAGAATATCAGGAGCGATAGTCTGAAGGAGGTTTGAAGGGATAGGGTCCAGAGGACAGGTGGTAGGGCGGGCAGAGGTAATGAGGGTAAGAACCTCACTTGGAGAGAGAGGGGAAAAGGAGGTTAGTGTGTTGGTGGAAGGAAGGTCTGGTGACCCAGCGGTGAGTAGAGGTGAGTCAGAAAAAGAAGAGCGAATATCATCAACCTTTTTTTCAAAGTGGTTAACAAAGTCGCTTGACAGAAGTGAGGAGGGGGGAGGAGCTTTTGGAGGGTCCAAGAGGGAGGAGAAGATGGAAAATAGTTTTTTAGGATTGGAATAGGAAGATTGGATCTTATCTTGAAAGAAAGTGCTTTTTGCCTGAGAGATGGAAGCAGAGAAAGAGGAGAGGAGAGCTTGATAGGTTAGGAGGTCGTCACGGTGTTTGGATTTCCACCGTTTCCGCTCTGCTGCCCTAAGGACGGTTCTATTAGCACGCAGTGCATCATTTAGCCAGGGAGCAGGAGGGGACTGACGAGCCTGCCGAGATGTGAGAGGACAGAGAGAGTCCAGAGAGGATGAGAGAGTAGAGAGGAGAGTTTCTGCAGCAGAGATTTGGAGGCAGCAGTTGGAACGAGTCAGAGGAAGGGAGGGCTGAGAGCACCGACGAGGCAAAGGTAGAGGGGGAGAGGGAACGAAGGTTACGGCGGACAGGTGCAGGATGGGAAGAGATTAGTTTGTTAAGTTTGGAAAGGGGTTAGAGAGAATGAAATGAAGAAGTGATCGGATGTGTGGAGCGGGTTTACAGAGAGGTTAGAAGTAGCGCAGTTCCTTGAGAATATGAGATCAAGGACATTGCCAGCTTTATGAGTCGGTGGGGACGGAGACAGTGAGAAAGCAAAGGCAGTTAACAGAGATGTTAGTTCGTCTATCTTCCCCGTCTGGAGGTTGAAGTCTCCGAGAAGTACAGCGGGAGGGCCAGTTTCAGGGATGTGTGAGAGGAGATGATCTAATTCCTCCAAGAAGTCCCCCAAGGCGCCTGGTGGACGGTAGAGAACAACAATGGTTAACTGTATAGGATGGGTTACTGTGACGGCATGGAACTCAAAGGTGGAAGGAGTGAAGTTAGGTAGCTTGAAGAGGGAAAAGCTCCATTTGGGAGAGAGCAGGAGACCAGTGCCACCTCCTCTGCCAGTGGGTCTGGGTGTATGGGAGAAGGAATATGCAGTGGAGAGAGCTGCTGGGGTGGATGTGTTGGATGGAGTAATCCAGGTCTCAGTGAGAGCAAGGAAATCCAGAGACTGCAGGGAGGCGTAGCCAGAGATGAAGTCAGCCTTAGGAACAGCTGACTGGCAATTCCACAGGCCACCTGAAACTAGATGTTGGATCTCAGTGGAGCACGTGGGATAGACGAGAGGAGGCCGGTTATATCGATTAGGAGATACACGGGGCCAGTGATAATTGCGAGAAGACACATGAACAGGAATGGAGAAAATACACATGATTATAGCATTAGGGGCTAGAAAACTAAAGAAAAGAGAAATAAGACACCAGCTCAATCAGAGTAGGATTTGCCTCCCTCGTGACTCCCGTAGGACTCCAATGTCTTTGTCAGTCTTACTCCCGCAGGACTCCAATGTCTTTGTCAGTCTTCGGCTGTCTGACGCTGAGTTCTCACAGCTGTAGGGCCACGCCCCTCTAATTAGTTAACTATCTACAGCTGATGGGCGACAATAGACTGGCCCTGCCTATATTAATAATGCAGGATTGAGAGCTGAGAGCTGTAAAGCAGGTTTCGCCTGAGCAGATCTGAGATTTAAAATCTCTCAAAAGCGATTTAGCCGTTTTAGCTACAATAACTACAGAACAATTATACAGAGTCGAATAAATGAAACAGAGAAGTCTAATTAAACAAGAATATAACTTACAGTGGTTGCTGCGTCAATAGGAAATGTTGTCACCGGTCAGATGTACATGTTCAAGGTTTATGGCTGAAAAGCATTCTCGTTTACTATCTAGTGTAATATTAGAACTTACGTTTCCGGGAGCTGTTGATAACACTATACTGGTCAAAGGCAAGAGGTCATTAATTTTGTTTCTAAGAGTAACAATTTTATCGTTAAAAAAGCACATAAAATCATTCCTACTGAGTGCTATGGGAATAGAAGGCTCAATCGAGCTGTGGCTCTCTGTCAGCCTGGCTACAGTGCTGAAAAGAAATCTTGCATTATTCTTATTCTCATCTATTAATGAAGAGTAGTAGGCTGCTCTCGCTTTACGCAGTGCTTTCTTATATTCATTGAGAGTAATATGCCAAATTAAACGAGATTCTTCAAGTTTAGTGGAACGCCATATCCTTTCAAGTTGTCTGGACTTTTGCTTTATTTTGCGGGTTTGGGCATTATGCCATGGAGCTAGTCTATGTTGTTTTATTTTCTTCTTTTTCAAAGGAGCAACAGAGTCTAATTGTATTCGCAGCGCATCTGTAGCACTATCAACAACATGATCAATTTGGGGTGGTGTACATTTTGTATAAGTTTCCTCCCTTACATGCAGACATGCTATCGAGTTAAGTATTGGTGGAATCTCTTCCTTAAATTTGGCTATAGCACTAACAGATAGGTTTCTGCTGCAGGAGCTTTTGACTAATGCTTTGTAGTCTCGTAACAGTACTTCAAAAGTTAATAAGAAATGGTCGGATAAAGCAGGATTATGCGGTTCGACTAATAGTTGCTCAATTTCAATACCATAAGTCAGAACAAGGTCGAGAGTGTGATTATAGCAGTGGGTTGGTTTATTTACACTCTGACAGAAACCAACAGAATCTAATATAGAGTTAAATGCAACAGTAAGGCTATTTTTATCATCGTCAACATGAATATTAAAGTCACCTACGATAATGACTTTATCTGTTTTAAGAACCAAAGTTGATACAAACTCAGACCTGGTGCACGGTACACTGTAACAAATAAGATGGGCTGCAAAGTTTTCCAGGTCGGATGCGTAAGACTAAAAACGAGACTTTTTGTGTGTCCTCAGAGGTCAGGTGTCCCTCCGTACGGCGGCAGGACGGGCGCGGCGGACGGGGATCGAACCGATATGGCGTACCGCGTGGTGGCGGACCATGTGCGCACGCTCAGTGTGTGTGTGGCCGATGGCGTGCACCCCGGCATGTCAGGCGCAGAGTGAGTCACACACACACACACACACACACACACACACACACAACACACACACACACACACACAACACACACACACGCACACACACACACACACACACACCATCCGATACAATAACACTTTAACGGTCAGATCCAGTCTGAAATGCTCCTTGCATCCTAGCAGCTCCATGTGGAACATCAACACTCATGAGAAACAAACAACAACATTGAGCACAGAGGATGCTTCAGGCTGGAGCACAGAGGATGCTTCAGGCTGGAGCACAGAGGATGCTTCAGGCTGGAGCACAGAGGATGCTTCAGGCTGGAGCACAGAGGATGCTTCAGGCTGGAGCACAGAGGATGCTTCGGGCTGGAGCACAGAGGATGCTTCAGGGCTGGAGCACAGAGGATGCTTCGGGCTGGAGCACAGAGGATGCTTCGGCTGGAGCACAGAGGATGCTTCGGGCTGGAGCACAGAGGATGCTTCGGGCTGGAGCACAGAGGATGCTTCGGGCTGGAGCACAGAGGATGCTTCGGGCTGGAGCACAGAGGATGCTTCGGGCTGGAGCACAGAGGATGCTTCGGGCTGGAGCACAGAGGATGCTTCGGGCTGGAGCACAGAGATGCTTCGGGCTGGAGCACAGAGGATGCTTCGGGCTGGAGCACAGAGGATGCTCGGGCTGGAGCACAGAGGATGCTTCGGGCTGGAGCACAGAGGATGCTTCGGGCTGGAGCACAGAGGATGCTTCGGGCTGGAGCACAGAGGATGCTTCGGGCTGGAGCACAGAGGATGCTTCGGGCTGGAGCACAGAGGATGCTTCAGGCTGGAGCACAGAGGATGCTTCGGGCTGGAGCACAGAGGAATGCTTCGGGCTGGAGCACAGAGGATGCTTCGGGCTTGCGTACGCCACAGAGGATGCTTCGGGCTGGAGCACAGAGGATGCTTCGGGCTGGAGCACAGAGGATGCTTCGGGCTGGAGCACAGAGGTTATGCTTCGGGCTGTGGAGCACAGATGGATGCTTCAGGCTGGAGCCAGGATG